TGAAACTCATCAAATTCCCGTCAATGTCGACGAGACTGTGCCGGTGCTGGCGGCCGGGTGACTCAAACTGGGCACATTGGCTGTCTGACTTTTGATTAGTCATCGCCCAACTGACCAATCAACGCTGGGCAAGTTGCTTTCACACTCTGGGCTGTCTCGGACACACAGTCGGCCAGTTGCAATGTGAATAGCGGAAGTACTGTTGTTCCAGCGTCGAAATGGCTCTTCTCATCTTAGAATGCGCCGCTCTGTGCTGCCTTCACCGGGTGGATGCAGGCTGGTGCCTCGGGCAAATTGTGTGAAAATGGCCTTTTCACACGCCGCTCGGCTGCTTCTCGCCCTCTTCACAGTCGTCACGGCGGGCCGTTCGGCCGCGGGAAGCCGAGTTCTCTCGGGCCGCGTGTGGACGAGAGGGTTGTGCCACCTGACGGTGAGCGAAAACCTGCCACAGGGCAGCGTTTTGCCGTTGCCCATGGTCCTGGCGCCCGAGGAGACGCTCGATTTGACGCACAACAACGCCTATTTCGGCCTACTTACCACGCCCGACAACAACACCACCACCACCACCACCACCACCACCAGCGGAACCGGTAGAGGCGAGTTGGAGATCGTCTGGAGGAGCCTGATCGAGGAGGGCGTCGTGACGACGACTCGACTCCGTCCCAGTCTCGTCAGTCTCAGCTCGTTGAACAGAGAGTTTGTCTGCCAACGGGAGCCGGAGTGCGATTGTCGCTATGGCAACAGTCTTCCGGACCGACGATTTGCCAGTGGACAGATTGACGGTGTTGAAAGGCTGATCTGTCGCCTCGGCGTCGACGTGATCATTCGTCCGATTGACAAGACCCCGGTGCCGACGAAAGCTCGTCTCTCGGCGGTCTCGTTGATCCGCTTTCCCCGACCCGAGCGTCTGTATGTGTGTCTGGCTCCCGCCCTCTGGCCCGTCCATGCTGGCCGGTTTCGCGTCGGGTCCCCTGCCGACCTCTGGCGGCCTGGCAACCAGACAACGCGAGCTAGACACGCCGGTGTTCGAGGTGAGTCTGGAGGAGCATTCGGCGGTGGGTCGCGAGATCGCATTGCCCGTCGCCTTTGACGCGGATGCAGCGCCCGACAACACGCTGCATGCCTACACAATTCGGTGTTCCGATGCGGCCGGCAACCGCGGCGACGCCAAGGCCGACTTGGAGGGGTTGGGCGGAGGTCTGTTCAGCGTCTCTTTCGGCCTAGACACTCCGCAGCCGGGATTGCAGCGGTCGACCGAGGCTTGGCTTAATCTGGTTGTCGTGGCCGACATGGATTTGGAGGCAGAAGCTGCGAAGTTGGCAACCGCCGGCGAGGCGGCAGGTCGCCGGGTGGTGGGTTGGCCGATGGTGTGTGTGGTGGAGGCGACCGACGGCCTGCACACCGGCCAGTTGGGCGTGAGGATCCGGCCGAAAGACGTCAACGACCATCGGCCCGCCTGGCAACCGCCGCTGTTGCTCACCTCCAAAGTCCACCTCGAGCCGAGCGTCAATGGCTCGCAGACGGCAGACGACACGGTCGAGTGGACAGTTCGTCTGGCCGAGTCCGTCTCGCCCTATTTGCCTTTGCTGCAGTTGCGGGCTCGCGATCCCGATCGCGACTTTGGCCAACTCACCTTTCGTGCTCGACACGGCCCTGGTTCGAGTCCCGCCGCCATGTTCGGCCACCTGGACGCGGCTTGCCGAGCCCTTTTGGGCTCCGCCAATGAGCGAGCAGCCTCGCTGTCGGCGTCGCCGTTAGCCTCATCCGCAGCGTCCGAGTTGGCGTCGCCGTTCAGCCTGTTTCGTATCGATCCGGCCGGCGGTGAGGTCAGCCTGACTGGTCGGCTTGACTACGAAACCGTTCGGCAATCGGAAGAGGAGGCGGTGGTACGATTGGACGTCGAGGTGGAGGACAACGGCGGTCTGGGGAGTCGAGCAAGACTCAACTTTCGCGTCCTCGACGTCAACGACAACTGACCGGAGATCACCTTCTACTCGGCCAGTCGTGTCGGCCTTAGCAACGGACTGAAGGGGCCTCGGCAACCGGTGTTCGGGCCCGGCGTGACGGCACGCACTCGCCTGCTATTGCGCGAAAACCAACGGCCCAGTCGACCTTTGGACTATTTGACCATGACCGATGCCGACGGACCGAGCAACGGAAAGCCAACCTGTCACCTCATCGACAACCCGTTGCCGGGCGTCTTCAATCTCACCCAATTGGGACCCGAGCTTTGGGCGCTCGTCGGCCTGGCACTCGTCGATCAAGAACAATTTTCCGGCAAGACGAGCCCTTCCAGCGCCGGCGTCTACCACGGCCTGCAGACGAGTCGAGTCGCCATCGCCGCTCCCACTCTGCTGCAACTAATCGTCCGTTGCCAGGACAACCCAGAGCCATGGCAGCCACGTCTGGAGACTCGAGCGGTGATTGTGCTTGAAGTTTTGGACGAGAACGACAATGCGCCCGTCTTTCTGTCTGGCCGACGCCTGGGCGACACGGGACAGCTATTAAAGGTCACTTAAAATGATGTAAGAACTGATTGTGGATTTTTCACACAATGCTACAAATCGTCATCATGATACCAATTCAGTACATTTAGCCTTGGTCAAAAGTG